TGAAAGTCAGATAAAGCAAGATGAGGAGTATAGGGAGATGAGGCTATCTACAAAGTTTTTGCATTGTGTCAACTGTGTGTACAGAGGTGTGCAGACGTGCATTGTCATGAGAGATGGCATGGCCTTTGGATAGCAGTCCTGTGCGTTTAATCTGAAGTTTAGGTTTCAGCTCTTCAGTGAGCATCTCACTGTAATGAACACTGTTGAATGTTGAACATTTTTCCTGATAGTATTCTAATACTGACCTTTGAGAATCCCAGAAAACTTAAGCATCAATTTCCCAGTTTACGGTTGACTTTTGAGCTTTCCCGTAGTGGGTGACTGACGATGTTACTATACCATACTCTGGTTTGTAGTGATTAATCCATGTCTCGTCACGAGTGACGATTTTTAAAAAGAAACTTTTACCTTCCTTTAAGTATTGGTTAAATTTTGTTTGCAGAGGTCCAAATGCTTCTGTTTATGTTCTTCTGTGAGTTGTTTCGACACCCATATCACACAAACTTTTTGAAATCCAATTCTGTCTTGAATTATTTGATAGGCAGAGCCATGACTGATTTGCTAATGGTCCGCCACATAATCCACTGTCTCTCGTCTGTTCAACAGCATCCTTTCACATGCACACTTAATGTCACCAGCTGTGTGGCCAATTTTTGACTCACCCTTGTATTTTTAGTTTCTTAGCCAGGTCCCTCATTCCAGAGGAAAGGGGAGGGGTTGTTGTTGTTGTTAAGTGCCAAGGATTTGATTCTGACTTAGAAATACCCTGTATTGAATTTCTCAGGCCGCAAATCCTTGCTGGAACAAAAAGCCTCATCTTTTTCTCGCTGAGCAGCGAGTAGCTGGTGGGCTGTAACCACCCCACTGACACTGTGGTTAGCAGTCCAGTGTTTACCCTGCTGATCGACTGGCCTCCCAGAGGGAAGGCGTGGTAATGGTGGTGGTTATGTGCTGTGGAGTCGGTTCCAACTAATAGCGACCCTGTACAGGGTTTACAAGGCTATAAATCTTTACAGGAGCAGAAAGCCTCATCTTTCTCCCACGAAACAGCTGGTAGTTTGGAACTGCTGACCTTGAGGTTCACAGTCCGATTCGTAACCACTACGCATCAAGAGCTTCTTTACTATCTGGGAAAACTGCTGGGGCCTTTTTCTGCCTGTGGCCAAAGTCTGCCTGCATCACTATCAGATGGAAATGATGAAAATGTTGACACATTGTGAAAATGTAACCATTGTTGTTGTTATTGAACAAGTTGTATAGATATTATTAAATTTTTAACTTTATATTAAATTACATAATT